CCCCAAAACCCCAAAACCCCAAAACCCCGACCTCTAATAATTATTTTCTAATTATGATACTTAATATTTGTAATATATTTCTATGAAAGCCTTTGTAAATCAAAGAAAACTGTTCTTACTAAACTCAATAAATCTCAGATAATTTTCTCATAGAATGAGAGCCATAGTATGTGAGGGAACTGGTGGACCTGAAGTCATGAAAATTTCTGATACTGTAGATCTTCCATAATGCAATTAGAATGAAGTGCTCTTGAAAATTGAAGCTACTGCAGTTAATAGAGCAGACACTCTCTAAGTAAATCATTTCAAGTATTATTATTATAGAGAAAAGGAAAGTATCCACCACCTCGAGGTGTTACTGATATTATTGGGCTTGAATGTGTTGGCTATAAGACTGATCCTAAAACTCTACAGGTGGACAAATCTAAATTATTTATGACATTGTTATCAGGTGGTGGCTATGCTTAGTAATATCAATATTCTTCATTCAAGATTTAATTTAGATATGCTAAAGTTCATTATTCACATTTAATGCCTGTACCAAAAGGATTAGTACTTGAAGAAATCGCTGCCATCCCAGAAGTTTGGCTTACTGCATTTCAGCTACTGCATAAAGTTGGAAATGGTTAGTCTGGTGAAACTGCTTTAGTCTTAGCTGCAGCCTCTGGAGTTGGAACTAGTCTTATTTAATTAGCAAAGAAAAATAAAATGAATGTAATAGCAGTTGCTTCGAACCAAGAGAAGCTTAACCTATGCAAATTGTAAATATCTATAATTAATGACTGATGAAAATAGACTAGGAGCAGATCATTTGATTAATTATAAAGAATCACCTGATTACAGTTAAAATATATTGGAATATACCAATAAAAAGGGTGTTGATGTTATTTTAGATCCAATTTTAGCCTCTAATTTTGATTATGTAATGACCCTCATTTTGATTATTTCTGCTATTAGAATATGAAATCAATAGGTATGGATTCGAGGTGGGTAATGTATGGCACTATGGGAGGTCTTAAAGTAGAAAATGCAAACTTTACAAATTTAATCTTGAAAAGAGGCCAAATTTTAGTATCAACTTTAAGAAATAGGACAGATGAGTATAAGGCATAATTGATAAAGGATTTTAGTTCTGCTTGTATTCAATAGTTTGAAATGAAAAGACTAAAGCCTATTGTAGACCGAGTGATGAAGCTAAGTGAAGTTTAGCAGGCTCATGAGATTATTGAGAAGAATTAGAATGCAGGCAAGATAATCTTAATCAATGATTTGTGATTAAAAGTTTATGAATTTAATGAAATCATTCTAAAAATCCGATCTATAAATTATGGGGTTTTGGGGTTTTGGGGTTTTGGGG